TCCCCGTCCCTGACCCCAGCCTCCCAGTTCCTCTTCCAGGAGGCAGCAATTGGTACGAGCTTCCTACATAGCTTTCCAGATACTCCGTGCAGAGAAAAACGTGTCGGTCCATATGTCTCCTTTAGAAAATATAGCACCATAGACAGGCTGCTCTATACCTTGCTTTTGACTTAAAACATAGTTTAAAAATATATCTTAGAGATGGTTCAGTATCACAACATGAGTTTGATCTATCTCTAGCTGAGTGGTAAAGATGATGTCTCTGGGACCCCTGCCTGAGCTTGAACTGGGGTCCCTCTCTTCCTGGCTGGTGACCCTGAGGAAATTACCTAACCAATCTGTGCTTCGGTTTCCTCATTAAAAATACTACTATGTATTTTTTTGAGGTCATTGTGAGGATTCAAGGACATAAACATTCTGCACAGGGCCTGGCACATGGCACATGCTCAATAAATGTTGGTTATTAGGATCCCACCTCGTTTACTTTAATTTTGTTTTTTTTTTTTTGAGATGGAGCCTGGCTCTTGTTGCCCAGGCTGGAGTGCAATGGTGTGATCTTGTCTCACTGCAACTTTCACCTCCCCAGCTCAAGTGATTCTCCTGCCTCAACCTCCCAAGTAGCTGGTATTACAGACACCTGCCACCATGCCCGGCTAATTTTTGTATTTTTAGTAGAGATAGGGTTTCACCATGTTGGCCAGGCTGGTCTCAAACTCCTGATCTCAGGTGATCTGCCTGCCTCAGCCTCCCAAAGTGCTGGGATTACAGGTGTGAGCCACCACGCCCAGCTGTTGCCTGGCTGTTTACTTTAAATTTTAAAAATCATGAGTTAAACCGGAAATACGGTGCCCTGTAGTGATAGTGTCACACGTGAGCTCTGGAGGCCATCCTATATACTGGCTTCACCACTTGCCAGCTGTGTGTCTTTGAACAAGTCATTTTTCAACCTCTCTGGGGCTCTGCCTAACCCATCTATGAAATAGGGATCATGAGTCTAATCACTTGTAAGGTTGTTGGCGGGTCAGATGAGGTAATAGATACAAAGACACTTGGAGCAGTGCCTGGCATGTGAGGAAGATGACGGCGGTATTAGAAATAACAGCAGTTAAATCCTGCAAGCCCTCACCACGGGCCAGGCATGGGATGCATATGAGCTCGCTCGGGCCTCCGGTAACCTGTTCCAACTTTCCTCCAACTTTATCAAGCTCTCCCACGTACCTGAGACTGTTCAGTGTTCCATGCTTCTCCATGACGGAGCTACTGTGTTATCTCCATTTTAGAGAAAAAGAAACTGAGGTTCAGAGACGTTAAGTAATGGCATAAGGTCACACATGCTCATAAAAGTCCAATGTATTGTGTGTCTTCCAGATCTGGAGATTATGTCTTGTGCACTCACTGGGGCTTACAAGAGGGCCTACTTCTGTACTGTCTCCTTCCCCGGTCCCGTTCCCTGTCCTCCTTTCCCAGATTCCCCCTTCCCCCGTACCCTTCCTTCTCTCCTCTTCCTCATCTCTTCCCCCCTTCCTCATATCTTCCCCCTCCTCCTTCCTTCCATTTCCTCTTCTTTCTCCCTCTCCTCTTCTGCTGTGTTGCTGCCTTCTCTCATTGCTTTTATCTACCACCCCTTGGCCAGAGTCCAGACTCAAGGGCTGATATCTGGTTGCCTTCTGGGGGTCACAGACAGTCATACAAGAGCTGCCACCCTTCCCCTCAAAGGGCTTCCCTACCCCAGGCCCTGCCAGCCCAGCCCAGCAGGGCGGTGTTTGTGTGTTTGTGGGTCAACCTGCATCTATGTCAGCTTGTGTGAGAGTTGTGTGTCTGTGGCTGTGCCCAGTTCCTTTATGGGTGTTCACCTGCATGGTTGTGTGTGTGTGTGTGGTTGTGTGTGTGTGTGTGTGTATCAGGTCCCGAAGTCCTGACCTGCCTCAACAACTTTCAACACCAGTGCCCCACCCTGACCACCCCAGTTAGGGCTGACCAGCCGGGTCCTGGCCCTGAGGAAACTGGGCTCAGTCTCAACCCTCAGGCTGGAATCACGCAGACCTGTTTCTCACTGGTTTGGTTGCTTCTTGAAGATTTCTAAGCTTGTTGGGTTTATCCAGCAGTGGGCTGGTAACTGCTGAACAGGACCCTTGCAGGGGTCCTAGGAGAGGGGGCGTGTAGGAGGGTATGTGGCTTGTGACCTTGCAAGGATCCAGATGTACGGAACAAACCACGGTGCTGTGGTCCCGGAGGCCTCTGTCTGATCCGAACTACGGTCCATGCCCAGCTGCGACGTGGACACCTACGCTCCCCCACCATCCAGGAAAACCCGGACCCTAAGCTGGGCAAATTCTTCCTGTGGGGATCAGGGCCAGCGAGCCAGCCTGGGCAGCATGTGGGATGGGTGTGAATGCTCAGGGTCAGCCCTGCAGAGCCCGGAACAAATACCCTGATCTTTCTGAAGCATTTCCTGATGGGGTTTACAAGGAATGTCTGCTGGGAGGTGGGTGAGGGTCCTGGGAGTCTGCTGTTCCCGGGTCTGAGCCGTCACTGCTGGCCTCTCTGGTGGCGGCCGCCAGGGCAGTTCCTGGCCGGCCCACTGCAAGCACATCTGGATGCAATTGTCTGCAGCTGCCGGGCGAGGCGTAGGCTGCGGTCAGGGCTGGATGCTACACTTAGGGAGACCTCACGGGGTTGGGGGGCGGTCTGATTGCTTAGAGACTGAGCCGCCTACTCAGAGCAGGGAAGGAAGACCAAGGAGAAAAGGAAAGAAAGGAAGATGGATGGGGTGGTGTGATGGGGAGCCAGGAATGTCTTTTTGTTCTGAAAAACCTTCCGGCTTTTCCCAGCAAATCACAAAATCCAAATGGGGAAGCTGTTTTAACTCTAGTCACACCCATGTCTAAATCAAGCAAACATACCACACACACATGTTTTTGTTTCTAAACTCATCAAAGGAACTTCAGGCTTGTACAGGGTCCTAAAAATACATACCAAAAACTGCTTGTGTTCCAGCCTCTCCCCTGCTTTAAAAAATTTTTTTTGGGTTTTGTTTTCACGACTGAAAAATTTCCGGCAATTTTTGACATCCTTTGCTCTGACCTCAAGCAGCAACAGGCTTTATCTGACAGTGTCAGAGTGTTCAAATTCACCGAAGGGTGGGGGCTTCAGCAGGGAAGAGGGCAGGGGGTCTTCAGGGTGAAATGGATTGTTCTCTGGTCACAGAGGACGGCAAAACCATCCGATTCCACCCCTTCTTGTTTTTCTTTCTCTCTCTCTTTCTGTCTCTCTCTCTCTCTTTTTTTTTTTTGAGACAGAGTCATTCTCTGTTGTCCGGGCTGGAGTGCAGTGGTGGGATCTCGGCTCACTGCAACCTCTGCCTCCCAGGTTCAAGGGATTCTCCTGCCTCAGCCTCCTAAGTAGCTGGGGTTACAGGCACCTGCCACCACACCTGGCTAATTTTTGTATTTCTAGTAGAGACGGGGTTTCATCATGTTGGCCAGGATAGTCTCAAATTCCTGACCTCTAGGGATCCGCACGCCTCGGCCTTCCTAAGTGCTGGGATTAAAGGTGTGAGTCACTGCACCCAGCCCCACGTCATTTTATAGCTGCAGAAAATTAGTCCAGATAGGACTGGTGACCTGCCTAAAGATACTCAGCCAAGATTCACCCCGAAGTGACCCAGTGCAGAGGGCTCTGGGCTTAGCTGTGTCCAGTAGGTTGTGTTACATCCTCTGCAACTTACTTCCACATCAGAAACATGTCTGATTTGTGATGGACCCACATCCCTGAGCAACGTGGAGGCACTACCATGGGAGGTACCTTGTGGGGCTGCTGGAGAGCAGGTCTGGCTCAGCAGTCCAGGACACGGTCTCCCAATTCCCTTTCCTGCTGTGTTGTTGGGGATAACTCACCTGGCCCCCAGTTCCCCATTTGGAAATAATAACAGTAGCAGTAATGATATTAACATTTGTCATTTAATGAGCACTTACTATTGTTCACTTCTCCCATTTCATCCCAGCTGACCTCACAACACTTTCAGGTGGGTACGATTATTAGCTTGACTCTGTAGACGAAGCAACTGAGGCTCAGGCAGGTTAAATGGCTTGTCTAGGTTAGGGAGGCTGTGGTCGAACCCAGGCTTCCACCCTCCTCGCAGACTGCTGTGCCCTCTGCCCCACAGGCTTGAGGTGAAGGCTCATGGAGACCTTGGATGGACAAGATGGAAAGGCCCGCGCTCCCTGTTCCAACATCGGAGCCTGATAGTGATAGGGGTGCAGATGACCCTAGGTAGAAATTCCCTTTTTTCGTGCTTCCTCCAGCAGGCCTCCCTTCTCCCCTGGAGTCCCACAGCCTCTTCAGCTGGCCTGGCCCCTAATGCTTTCTGCAGCCATCAGAGTTCTGCAGCCTTGCAGTGTGGGTGCTTTTGCGCCCAATCAGGAAGCCATGAGACCCACCGGCAGTCTTATCCCGTGTTCTGCCATCCCCTACCATGGCCTGGACTGCCAGCCACTCGTGTCTCTGCCAAGGCAAAATTAGAATGTGCAGCTTCTGCAGAGAGGGCGGATTTAACCAAGCCTCCCGCTGGCTGTCCTGCCCAGGGCCTTCCAAGTGGCTGACAGGAGGTCGAGGAGAGAGAACCCGTGGCCGGTGTCCATGACATTCCGGACGACAAGGACATCGTCTCTGGGCTGGCTGCTTGCTCCCCCATACTGGGAGTAGCTGGAGGCCGGCAGGCACCATGCTGTCCTCCAGGCTGGCTCAGAGCGAGTGCTTCATAAATGTCATTGACTGAGTGGGGGACTTCAGGAACACTTCCCTGGACAGGGGGCTTTGTGGGAGCTGTGAGGATTGCTCTATCCCCATGAATGGGGACTGCTTCCTGCTGGTGACAGCTGGCAGTTTTCTGGTTTATTATGCTAGGTTTTTCAAAACACTTCCCCTCCCTGGGCTGGCCATTTATCTATTATAGATAAGATAAGGGGAGTCTAGTTGGAGAAGGTTATGTGACAGTAATTGGAGGGAGCTCAGCCCCTCCACGGAGCAGCCGGGTGATTTCTGCAGTGTATTTTGTTCGGTGGCACTTGATGGAACAGCAATTGGAGAGATTTGCAGGTTTGCTTTCTTCGTGGCAGGGTAGAGTGGCCCATGGGGTGGGATTCTGGGCTTTGGTTGTGGCGAGAAGGTGACGCTTGTGGGTGGAATGCTGGGGGGGCTGGTGGGGGTGGGTCCCCTCTGCCCAGCAGATCCCAGGCCACTGGCTTCTCCGCTGGCACCCCTTGAGGCCCAGCTCCAGAGTGCTGGGCAGGGCTCGGCTGGGCATATGGCGTTGGCAGTGAACTTGGACTGGGCTGCATTCTGGCTCTGGGTTCCTTACTCTGTTTATGACGGGAAGCGTAGAGGCGGGGCCCTCCCACCACTGTCCTAGGACTGCAGACTCGTGTCCCACTCCCTGATTCCACTACCACCAAGTCTCTTCCTCTCCAGCATGGCGGGAAGCCGAGCAGTCTGGCCTGGTTCCACAAAGCGTCATATCAGGAATCTGGGGACATCGTGGACTTAGGCAGGCATGGGAAAGGGGCCTGGGGCTTCAGTGTTCCATACCAGAGGCTAAAGAAGTCTGGAGCCCCTTGAAGGAAGTCCCAGCTAACAGACACCCAGTTTTTAGCTATTTCTCCTTTAATGAGATGCGCATTCACCAGGCAAATGTTTGCACGAAAGGCATTGAAGCAAGAAACTAGGCGTGTGCAGGATATTTAGGTTTGCCCTTCCAGATCATTCTCCACGCTGCTGTGTACTGGGAGCGACAGGCCTTTGCACCACCCGGCTCTCTCTTCCTCTGGCCTCTGGGTCAGTTTCACTGGGGGGAGGTGGCAGCAGGAGGCTTCTTCCCTGCCCCTTCATGCTGCACTGTGGGTTAAAGTGGTTCCTGAGACAGCTCCAGCTCCCTCCAAGGTCCCTATCCCTGCCGTCTCTGGAGGCCAAGGGGTCAAAACTGCTTTTGGCTGTTGGAGCTCCCCCTCCCTTGTGGGTTTGCCTTAAGCCTTCTGTAAACACTCTTCAGTGGGTTGAACAGTGGCCTCCAGAACAGATGTCCACATTCTAAGCCCCAGAACCTGTGAATGTGACCTTATTTGGACAAAGAATCTTTGCAGTTGTGATTAAGTTTAGAGATCTGAAGATGAGATCATCCTGGATTATCTAGGTGGGTACTAAGTTACATGATGAGTGTCGGATAAGAGGCAGATGAGGAGAAGACGCAGAGACACAGGGGAGGCCACCACGTGAAGATGGAGGCAGAGATTGGAGGGATGCAGCCACGAGCCAGGAATGCCTGGAGCCGCCAGAAGCTGGAAGAGGCGAAGAGGGATTCTCCCCTTGGGGACTTCCGGGAGATCAGAGTCCTGCCCTGAACCTAGATTTTGGACATCTGGAAGTGTTCAGAGGGGAGGAGTGGGTCTTACCTTTATGAGCATCTACGGTGTGTGAGCGGTGTGCTAGGCCCTTGGTGAACAGCAAGTCATTAAATCCTCTTAAAATCCTGTGAGGTGGAACTGGCATTGTTCCCATTCAAAAGATGAGAAAACAGACACTCCCAGAGCTTAAGAAACATGTTCATGGCCACCCAGCTAGTAGGTAGGTGCCAGAGCTGGGATCTGGGCTCAGACCCTTCTGCTGCTGCCTGCTGACCCCTTTCAGAGGTCAAGGCTGTCCTCTTAGTGCTCCAAGGACTGGTCACTGATCATTTATTTTAAGCTTAATTAAGCAACTACCTCGCATGAGAACACATAGCTGCAGAGTTCTGTCTTGTTGGTAGAGAGGTCTTGCATGGTTTGACTTGAAATCTTAGCTCCTGTGCACACGCAGAATTCCCATGGGTGAGTCCTGAGAGCAAGTGTCTCAAAGAGACCGACCGTTAACCCCAGGGTTGCTGATACGGGACACCGAACCAGGTCTTTCATAAGCAAGTCTCAGAACTGGATTGCAAATGCTCAGCCCTTTAAAAGCCAGCCAGATATAGCATGAAATCCAGTCCCCATGTGTTCTCCTTTCCCTCCTCCCTTATGTCCACATCTTTTCTAGAATCTTCTATCCTGCTTTTTGCCATCCCCTGTCCTACTCTCTGGACTTGAGTACGTCTCCATGTCATCCCTCCACTCTGTGCAGAGAGCAGGGCAAGGACCTTTATCCTCACACTACAGAAGGAAACCAAGGACCTCGGGGTCATCCTGGGGCATCCTTGCCCGTGGTGGCAGATAAGGGTGGTGCAGCTCTTCCTGGCCTCGGTGCTCACGGCTCCTGCATGCCTTCTTCCTCCTGTAGGAGGCGAGACTCTGTCATGCTAGAGAAATGCTCAGAGACACAGCGTCAGGCCAGGGCCGGGGAGCCTGGAGACCCATTTGGGGAGAGCGGGACACATGTAAGGTCAAGTGACTAATTCCGCGATTTCTCCAAGATCAGATGCACATTCCATGGAAAGAGACGTGCTCGACGGCAGCATCAGAAAGGAATCGATGTGCAGGGAGCCAGGATTAGATGATGTTAAGCTGAGGATTTCATAGTCTGTTTTTCTTCTATGAGAGTCAACAAGAGGCTGGGGTTATTTCATCTTCCTGAATAAACAAGCAGGTGGGTTGCAGAACAGTAGGCACGGCCCAACTGTGAGTGTGTGTATGTGTGCTTGTGTGGGGAAGGTATGTGCTCACATGTAGGTGTATGTGCATGTATGTATGTGTAGAGGTATGTGCAAATGTGTGAACACTTATTCTTGTGTTGTGTATGTGCCCATGCATGTGTGTATGTGTGCATGTGGGTGAGTGGCTTTGGGTGTGTGGATGCACATGTGTGTATTTATGGATGTACAGGTGTGTGTGCACCTGTGTATCTCAGTGAGTCTATGTATGAGCATACCTGTGTAAGTGTGTGTATTTGTGTGTAGGTGTAAATATGCATGGGAAAGGGTGTATATATGTGTGTATATAAATGTGTATGTTTGTGTGTATGTGCAGGAAAGAGAGAGAGAATGAAGCTTGGATCCAGGTTCAAGAGTCTTAAATGCTTGAGGTGATGGATACCCCATTTACCCTGATGTGATTATTATGGGTTGTATGCCTGTATCAAAATATCTCATGTAACTTATAAATATATACACCTACTATGTACCCACAGGAATTAGAAATAAAAAAAATCAACAAAAAAGACTGTTAGAGGCTGGGTGCAGCAGCTCATGCCTGTAATCCTAGATGGTACTTTGGGAGGCTGAGGTGGGCAGATTGCTTGAGGTCAGGAATTTGAGGCCAGCCTGGCCAACATGGTGAAACCCCATCTCTACTAAAAATACAAAAATCAGCCAGGCGTGGTGGTGCATGCCTGTAATCCCAGCTATTTGGGAGGCTGAGCAGGAAAATCACTTAAACCTGGGAGGTGGAGGTTGCAGTGAGCTGAAATGATGCCACTGCACTCCAGCCTGGGTGACAGAGCAAGACTCCGTCTCAAAAAAAAAAAAAAAATGACTGTTAGAAAACATGCTATAGTCCTTAGAGACACATGGGGTCTCCAGAAGAGCCATAGAATGGCGTTGATGAACCCCCGGGCCCATGCCCTGACCATGAGTGGATGGCTGTGGAGTTCACCTTGTGAACGCCCCACCCTCTCATCTCTGCTCGCACCGTCATGGTGTAGGTCTCTTGGGGCCAGTGTGGATGGACAGCCTTTGAGTTCCTCAGGTCCTGGATGCAAATTCTAGCTCTTCCTTCTCCCTGTGGGACCTTGGGGCAAATTAGCATCCTCCCCAAACTTCTGTTTCCTGCCCTGTGAAATGAGGAAATGAGAACCCCCCCATAGGTTTTTGGGAGACCCGGAGGAGACCTGGGTAGGAGAATGCTCTGGGCCTCCAGCACTGGGGGCTTCCACCCCTCCTTCCCTGCTCTAGCTGGGGTGGGGCGGCTGCTTCTGGGCTCTAGGGCTGCCCGTAGAGGTTGGGCTCTGTAGAATGTCAGTGTGAAGACATCTGGGGAGCACATCCACTATCCTACTTAAACAGGCTATGGCCTGGACCCCATGGGACCCATGAATATCACACAAAGTGTACTTCTACCTGGACAGGCTGTTAGAAACAGAACCTTCTTCAAACACCCATCTTGATATGGGTCCTGGGGATGGGTGGCTGTTGAGAGCTCTGTCAGGGCTGAGACTGTCTCACAGGCCATGCAAAGCTGCTTAGTGACCCTCTACTCGGGCAGGGGCCAAGGCAAGGACTTTGGAGCCAGGAAACCAGGTTCAGCTCTTGGCTTGGCCACTTCCTAGCTGTGTGACCTAGGGCAAACTGCTTGACCTGTCTGGGCCTGGGTTCCTCACCTGAGAATACTCACTGCTATGCTGACCTGTCTGGCTCAGGGGAAGCTGCTTCAGAGAGAGCTGCAAGGACTCTGTATGCATCTCCTAGGGCTGCTGTGGCTTAAAACAGCACCAACTTCTTATCTCACAGATCTGGAGATTCAGAAGTCCGACATGGGCCTCCCCAGCCTAAAATTGCATCAGTCGGCTGCGTTCCTTTCTGGAAGCTCCGGGGAGCACTGGTTTTGTGGTTTTTCCACCTGCTGCAGGCAGTCCAAGCTCCTTGGCTTTGGATCCCTTTGCTTTTCAAAGTGCATCACTACCACCTCTGGTTCCTCCATCACATCTCCTTTTCTCACGCTGGCCTTCCTGCCTTATTCTAAAGGCGCTTGTGATCCCATGAGACCCACATGGACAATCCCAGATAATCTCTCATCTAGAGATTCTTAACTTTTTTATCATTTTTTTTAGATGGAGTCTTACTCTGTCTCCCAGGCTGGAGTGCAGTGGCTCAATCTCAGCTTACTGTAAACTCCGTCTCCCGAGTTCAAGCGATTCTCCTGCCTCAGCCTCATGAGTAGCTAGGATTACAGGCACCCACCACCACACCTGGCTAATTTTTGTATTTTTAGTACAGACGGGGTTTTGCCATGTTGGTCGGGGTGGTCTTGAACTCCTGACCTCAGGTGATGCACCTACCTCAGCCTCCGAAAGTGCTGGGATTATAGGCATGAGCCACAGTGCCAGGCCAAGATCTGTAAATTAATCACATTGCAGAA